TATAGGAGGGCTGTGGACATTGACATGACCAGTGTGCCTTGAGTTTGAAATTTGAATATATGTATGTTGGTATCGAGACCTTTTTTTTTTTTTTTCCAACATGAGTAGCGTGTCTGGAGTTTGAATAGAGGAGTACAACTTACTCAGAGAATTCTTCCTTGGTAAGACCCAGGGAGAAGAAAAAATCCCTTTTGGGCTGAAGATTTTGAGGGATGCTGTATGACATGACAGGCGCATAAACGAAGATCTTTCCAACAGAAGATTGGGGAACGCCAATGTCGTCCAGGAAGAACTGAATCAGCCGTCCAATGTTCGCTTCCATCCGCAGGCCTAAAAACTGCGCATCAGACAGCAACAACAGCACCAACCGGAGTGTTAAGTACCGGGTGAAAGGAGGAGGAGGATTTATGCGTTGCAGCGCAGGGTCGTGGTACCACCAGCCCCAAGGTCACCGTGTTGGACAGACAGCTGCGCTCAGGCACCTGCGGTGAGAGGCGCAGAGACATGTCAGGGCCCGCCACGTCAGGCCCTGGTCACATTGCAGCTCATCAGTGCCAGAATGTCCCTGCGGGTCTGCACGGTCGAGAAGTCAGCATGGGGCCGTAGTTAGGTACCAAACAGAAGCAGAGGGTAGGCTAGGTCCGCACCTGCGGCTGCCGCATGGTCATCATCCTCACAAAGGCATTTTGGAATGACGCCGATCTCCTCCCTCTCCCCCTAAGCTCCACACATCTTCCCATGCACAGCACTGAGACTTCAGAAAACAAAAGAAAAATTGGTCTGAAAAATAAAATAGACCCATAACCCTGCTGCTGTTCAGGTTTGAGTAAGGTATTTAAGGCTGTTCGCTCCAGGTCTTTCCGTAGGATTAAGGGTAGGATGTAGACATGGGTAGCTAGTGTGAGACAGATTGAGAGAAGATAATACGGTAGGAAAAATACAACTGCCCCCGATATGAGGAGAAGGTAGGTGATAATAATTAAAAAACAAAAAAAAACTGACTTCACAAGTTCACAATAGATTACAAAAAAAAATAAAAAAATTGCCGGTGATGCCAACATGCACGCACCTGCGGCTGCCGCATGATCATCCTCACAAAGTCCTTTTGGGTGACGCCGATCTGCTCCATCTTCGTTTGAATCTCCTTCATTCTTTCCATTTTTATTCCCAGCACACCTGGGAACTTGAGGATCGTTCTTTTCACCTTTGGTCTCTGTGAGCACAGAACAAGAACAGAGAGTCACACAAGGACGTGATGAATACCTTTTCTTCCCAAAAAACTTGTTAAAAAAAAAAAGCACCATTTGCCATTTGGTCCATTTCTCGATGTATGAGTGTCATCCATGCACAGGGGCCATAGTCATCCTCTCTCTCTGTATCATTCCAATTTTAAAGGATGTCGCGAAGGACAACCCAAAAAGAACTTGAAACTTTTTGAGGATCATTTTTTTATTATTTTTTGGAATAAGGGCGAAGGCCTTGAGACATCGGCATTGAGCTGACCGGCGATAGGTAATTGAGAATGATTTTATATCATTCACCTGATCGCAGCTGGATTCGAACTTGGGTCTGTACTTCAACAGTACATTGGGTGTACCAACTGAGTTAGGCCCGTTTCTGGGTCGATTCTTTGGATCTTTGGTCTGCAGAGTCAGTGATCACTGGCTGGCAGAGGGAGAAAAAAACAAGAACAGTCGGTCGTCGTCGCAAGGACGTGAATTTCGTTCTTCCCAAAAAAAAGTAGTCAAAATGGAAACGAAATCAGAAAATGCAGAGCATGAAGGGCAAATGCGGACGAGGATGTGTCCGCATGCATTATCTTATTACAGCCACTTTGAGAGGAGTCGGCGCAGAGGAGGAGGAGGAGGAGCAGCAGCAGTAGGAGAAGCAGCAGGGGAAGCAGCAGGAGAAACAGCAGGAGAAGTTGATGATAGAGCGAAAGGAGGAGTAGAAGAAGAGAGCGTGAAGGATGGAGGCGGAGGAGGAGGAGGAGGAGGAGAAAAAACAGCAGAAGATGTGCCGCTGAAGTTGAAGATGGACAGACATGAGGAGCAAAATTGAGGAGGAGAGGGAGGAGGAGGATGAAAAAGAGGAAGAGGAGCAAGAGGAGGAGAAGCAGCAGAAGATGTGCGGCTGAAGTTGATGATGGAGCAAAAGAGAAAGAGGAGGAGGGAAGAGGGAGGAGCAGGAGGAGGAGGAGGAGGAGGAGGAGGAGGAGAGAAGCAGCAGAAGACGTGCAGCTGAAGTTGATGATGACAGAGGAATGAAGAGCAAAAGAGAAAGTGGAGGGGGAGGAGGAGGAGGGGGAGGAGGAGCAGAAGGCAGAGTGGGGCGTGAAGAAAGGAGGAGGAGCTGGAGTGTAGAACTAGTGATTGTTAGGTCCGAGACGCAGCTACATGCAGCAGTGAAATGGAAACAGATAAACCGATGAATACATCCACATGCTTGATCTAGGTTCATCCGTTTCCAGTTTTCCAAACTTCCAACAATCGCATGGCGCAGCAAACAATATACTCTCACTTCCATCCCCCCCCCGCCCCGCCCCGTGATCAACGACCGACTCACCGTCAAGCCAAGTTCTTCTAGATGTTGAACGACTTGCGGCATGTTGCGCCCGTACGTCAAAATCTGTGGGTGGCGCATCAGGATGGCCAGGAGCTCCTCTTTCTCAACACCCAGCAGTCGAAGGAACACAATCTGGAAAAAAAGCCAACAACAGAAAAAAAACAGCAATTAAATTCGACAACACGGTCAACAGTCACTTACTTTTAGAATGGCAAGGTGTTAGGGAAAAAAAACAAAAACAAAAAGGTGGTCCTTCGGGACATCCGTTAAAACCGGAAGGATACAGAGGAAGAAGATTAGCATGGCCACTCTGCAAGGATGACACGAAGATTAAGTGGGACTCGGTCCCACTTGGTCCCACATGCATGGTCCTTGAGTCCTGGGCAAAAACTGTATCTTTCCAATTTTAGCGGATGTCCCGAAGGACACAGATCTTGACTCGGGTATTTAATATTTTTAGTGGAGGGCCTGCAGGGCTCTTTTATCTTTTTTCTCTTTTCTAAAATTTTGCGGGGGGCAGTCAGGGCCTAGAGCCAGGGCTATCTGGCTATTTAGCCTACCATCCATACCCTGCAAGAGACAGGCTTGGGGTTTGGGAGCCCCTTGCAGCGTGCCTCTAGCTGCCCTGGCCTAGAGCCAGGGCTATCTGGCTATTTTGCATGTTCGGCCTGTGGGACCAGGCCGTGGCCTGACCCCACAGGCCGTGTGCTCATTCAGTCCAGTCCAGTCCTGCCCGGTACCACTGTCGGTACCAGGCCAGTCTAGTCCAGTCCAGTCAGTCCGCTGGGGGTATACCCCAGCTGCAGTCTGTCTTCAGCATCATTCTTCATTTGCACAGTTTGGAGTACGTGTGTGTTGAGTCCGCGTTGAGCTGCGCTGTCCCTTCCAGCTCCATCTCCATCTCCCCCATCCTCATCCCTACGTTTTGATCCTGACAGACAGCCATCCCAGCGGGTCCGTCACACTGGTATCAGAGCGGGAACGATGCCCACTCCCACTCATTCCTCCCCGCAAGGCAGCCCAAGCGCTGCAATCCCGAACAGCGGGAAAAGGCCAAGGCCGCCGCACACGCCCCGCTGCCCCGCTGAGCGGCGACCAGCGAGCGACACGACAGCTATTTGCCCCCCTCCCCGTCAGCGCGACCGGCGACCAGCACGGCCGCTATTTGCGCTTCCCCCCCCCCACCTCGTTGCTGCTGCCGCCTGTGCACATGGACGGTGGCTGCCCACAGTGCCACGTGGCAGCTTGCTGAGGAACTTGAAGACCCCCCTGGCTAGGGGGCTGCACTCCAGTAGCATCTGGGTGGCTGATCAAGATCTCAGCCAACCCCAGATTATCATTATTAAATTTTTTATTGCTGCAGCGGCCGGACAGCAGCACCCTGAAGGCCAAGATCCTGTGGATCTTTGTAGTGTTCTCGCTCTTGGCCACCCGAGAGCTTTGTATAACCTCCCTACTCACTAACCTACTCTGCCTCAACCCCTTTTCTCTCCACTCAACCCATCATCTAATCATCTTTTCTAACACTACCACTACTCCCTCATCCTACCTCACTCTTATCTTTTTTTTTCCCTACTTCTCTCCTCTCCTTCCCACTGTTCTCTCATACCCCTCCCTCTTCACTCACTCTCTTCCACAAATCTTTCCTTCTCCTCTCCATCTTTCCCATCCCTTTCTCTCCCATTCACTCACCCTCCTCTCCCCCTTCCCTCCCCCAACTACACCCCCATCATCTCCCCGACCTCCCACTTCAATCTTTTTCTCTTTCTTCATCACTTTTCATTCCTCCCCCCCCCCCCCAACTTCGAATTCTTCTGATTTTTCTTCTTTCATTTTTCTCTTCGATTTAAATTCCCTCTTTTTCTCCAAAAATTCGAATTTTCTTATTCCCTACTTCATTTCTCATTTTCTGGATTGTTTTATTTTTTATTTTATTTATTCTGAAATTTTGTTTTTTTTCTGTGGTACCTCTATATCTTGTTAGGACTTAGTTATTTCTGCTATCGGGCACATTTTGACTCCCTTGGGGGTAGCAAAGTGCTGGCAAAATTTTCCATTTTTTGTTTAAGCACTCTTCTTGACGGCACACTTCGACCCCATGGGGGTAACGAAATGCTGCCGAAATTTTTGACAAATTCAAAACTTAGTTTTCTCTTCACTCTCCTCCACCTCCCCATTTCTTTATTTCCTTATTTCTTTATTTTGAAAACTTTAATTTGCGGCAGTTTGAACCTTAGTGTGTTTTTCTTGGTCCCTCCTTCCTCTTGGCACATTATTTACCCCATGGGGAGTACGGACATGGTGCCGAAAATTCCAAAAAAATAAATATTCTTTTTTCTCCTAAACTTTTGCTTATAAGTTATTACTTTTTTGTTTATTTTTATTATTTATTTCGTTTTATTTCTATCTCAAAATTTTATTATTTACAGGGTTGCCAGCGTTCGAGACGGGCCGAACGCCCGAACGCTCGGCACACCCTCTCGACGTGTTCGGCTATTCAGCCGAATGCAGACCCAAAAAAAAAAAAAAATCCAAAAAATCTGAAAAATATATATGTACGAGGCACAAGGCTTCGATAAGCCCTACTGGGCCTTGGGCCTGATCCGTTTGGTCTGGGGCTCAGCCTCTCTGGGCCTACCGGAAGCTTCTGGGCAGGGGCCCAGCGCAGCCAGGCTGCATGCAAGGCAGGCAGGCGACTTCCATTTACGAAAGGGCCTGCACACGCATTCGGCATTCGGGCAGTGGCTGCATGCCGCGCAAGCGCTGCTGCGCTAACGCTGGCCAGCGCTCACGCGCTCACGGGCGAGCTGGAAGGAGCAGGCAGCCATAGCCGAGCTGCGCTGCTGTATGCTGGATGGGGCGCATGGTGGTCCTTGGGTGCATGGTGGTCCTTGGGTGCATGTTGCATATGTGAGTTGGGGAACGAGGTTGTGAGTGATACGAGAGACATACCTGGTGCTTGAAGCGTACACATTGGCCGAGATCGGCTCGTACTTCGGGGAGCTGTTGACGTCATCGGCGGCTTTGTAGATTAGGCTAGATAGGATCTGCCATCTGTAGTCTGGGCGCCGAGCGCCAGATAGGATGTCAACATTGGTTCTTCGTTGATGATGATGAGACTATTCCAGCATTGTCAATTATGAGCTTTTGCTGTATTCTTATTTGGTGGAACTCGTGATGCAATTCTGTTATTGGTTCGACGTCACGACTATCTGGTCTCATGTGTATGATGCTGTTTGATTTCTGAAGTTCGCTATCGCTCATTTTCCTTGCATATGTTATGCAGAAGAATAAACTGAAGAACATTTGCCTCAACGTTACATCCAATTTTTTTACCAAATTTGAAATAAAAATCAAATATTAAAAATAAATAATAATAATGAAAATTACTAGGCTACCAGCCGGGCCGCCCGGGTCACCCTATTTTCCCAGGCGGCCCGACCATGCAAGGACCAAGGAAGGTCCCAGCCAAAAAAAAAAAAAAATCCAAAAAATCCCAAAAAAAAACTATGTTATGCAGAAAAACAAACTGAACAACTTTTGCCTCAGGGTCACATCGAAATTCCTTACGAAATTTAAAATAAAATTTTAAATTAAAAATTAATTTCTATTTTTTATTTTTTTATATTTTTTTGGCCCGGGCGGGCAAGTGGACCCGGGCCACTATGGTAGCCTAGGAAAATTAGAAAAAATAAAATGAGAATGAAATTATTGAGTGGGCGAGCACGTTTTTGACACTGCCATCTTTGGCGATTTTTTATTTTTTTTTTGGTTGCGAAAAATGCCATGAAAATTCATATATGCTTATCTAACATAATAGAGAATCTACAAATAAAGTTTGGAAAAAAAAAAAAATCATGCCCCGAAATAAAGGAAAAATAAGAAGTGAAAAGAGAGAGAAAACAAATTAGAGAGTGGGCAAGCAAGTTTTGACACCACCATCTTTGCCAATTTTCTTTTTTTTTTGGCTAAACATAATGGCCCCCCTTCAGGTTCGCCCCCCGTACGGGGACCCGAACGTCGCCGAAAGCCCGCTCGTTCAGGGGTCAGCTTAGGGGCCTCCGTACGTTCAGTCTGGCAACCCTGACTATTTATTTATTTTTCTTTCCCCCTCCCCTCCATGGTTGTTATTTTCTTTTCTTGATTAGGTCGCCGCTCCTCTACCCTACCCCCCCAAACTCCGGTTAGGGTTTTCTTAGGGTTTTCTAGGGTTTAAGGTTCTCCCTAGGCCCCGCTCCTTTCACGGCTCCCGCCGTCGGGCACCATGGACCTAAACGGATCCTCTCCCTTCAACCGACTTTGCGCCACCTATACGTTTGGCCGAAGTCCAAGGACTTTGTCAGAGCCTACGTCCAGGAGTGTCGTACCTACCAGGAGGTGTACAGTGCGAACCACCTTCCGTATAGGTTACCATACCTGAGGGTCGTTGGCAGTCCATTCTCGATGGATTTTGTTGGTCCCCTCCGCCCTCCCACTGAGCGCGGTCATGATGCTACCTTGGTCATCGTCGATCGTTTTACAAAGCGTGCATGTTTTGTCCCGTGCCTCTATCGTATTAGTGCTCATGAGGTCGTCGACATCGTCTTCAACCGAGTCGTGAGTGATCACGACTTACCTCAGAGCATCATCTCCGACCGTAACTTGTTCTTTACCAGCGCATTCTGACGACGTCTACACGAGGTGTACGAATCCCGGGTCCGCTTCTCGTCGTCTTACCACCTTACAGACGGATGGTCAGACTGAGGTCACCAAAAGCTTATTAGGGATGATTAGCAGTGGGACTTACACTTAGCCCAGGCGGAGATTGCGTACAACCACGCTGTTTCGCCAAGCACGGGGATGTCGCCTTTCTATTGCGACCTCGGCTACCACCCTCATGTACCCACGGATTCCTTACGATCGTCGCGGTTGCGCCCAGACACTCGTTGTCCTGCGCTTGATGCCTTGATGCCCACATGGCGGTGATTATGAGGTGCGCGGACGCGAGTCTAGCCGACTCCCAAACTCGCATGGCCGCACAAGCGAACCGATCAAGAATGAATCATCCATTCAAAGTCGGTAACGATGTGCTCGTCGACGCACGCCACTTGTAGCTCGAAGCGGATACGCTTCGCAAGTTCAGTTGTCGCTTC